CTGTTGCTCTTTCTAGCCTATTATTAAGGATTTCTTAGTATTTTTTGGTGGATATATGGTTAACTGCTGAAGTTTGAAACAGACAGCAGTAATAGCCGCAGCAACAGCATCGGCATCATCATCAGGAATTAACAGGAACAGCAAAAAAAAAGCACTAAATTTCTATTTATATGATTTTTGTGCAGCAATACTAAATTAAAAAAAAGAAAAAAAAAGTAAATAAAGATTTTTTTCGAGATTTTTTTAGAGGACGTTAATTTTTTTTTCTGTTTTTTTTTATCTTTTTTTTTTCTGCTGAACGTTTTGGGGCGATTATTACACAAAAATTTTTACAAAGTAACAACAGTTGCTGTGGTTCTGTTTTAATAGCCTCTTTCTGTTTTGAGCGAATTTTTTTTTTCTGTTCTTTTAAACATGAAAAAAAAGTTCTTTTTTTCTTTAGTTTCTTTCTTTTTATTGACAAAAATAAAGAGAACGAAAAGAGAAAGATGCAAAGAAAAGAATTTTCATTCGTAAACGGGAAAGTTTTTTCTTGTAAAGTTTTCTTTTCTGTCAACCATCGACGGAACATTGGTAAAAGTGTACGGAGGTAAAGGAGAAGGTGATGGAGGAGGGAAGTGGGGGAGCCGTAGAGGGGAAAGAAGAAAGACATTCTGTGATGAAAAACCTTCTATACAGACGTATTTCCACTACAGTTTGATAACACACTGCATAAGGGTTGCTGTTTAAATCATCAGAACGTATTCATAGGAATTGATTCATTTGGGGAGGAGAGTGTTTTTTTTATCCACTTTCTATTTTTTGTTTGTTCAGTTTTTTTTGGCTGTAAATTATGCTGTAAACAATTAGAAAGTCTATAATGTTTTTGAATTTTTTCTTCTATTTCTTTTTTTCGCCTCTTATCAGTAGAATTTTTGGGACAAATAATCTTGGATTTTTTTTTATTTTACCTGTTTAAGATTATTCTTTGAGCAGCAAAAAAAGAAGAGAGAGAAAAAAGAAGAAAAAATCTGTAACATGAAGATAAAAAAAAAAGAAGAATTAACAATTGAAACGGTAAACAAAGTTTAGGTAAAGTAAAAAAAAGCAGTATAGTTCAGGAAGTGCTGTGTATTTTTTTCTGAGATACCTATCAACAGGAAAAATTATTTGCTTTTTTTTCTTTATTGAACGATTTAAACGGGCCAAAATTGATTGATTCCAATGTACTGCTAAGTTATTTTTGTTCCCCATCTTTTTTTTCTAATTCTGTATTTAGCATTAATTTTAGCAGTTTTATCATCTTTTTTTTTCGTTTTTTTTTTTCTATTGTGTAAGGGTAAATGTAGGAAAAATTCTGGATGAATTCAAATGGTTTCAAAAGTAAAAAATTTTATTTTTTTTTCTTTTATTGCTGTTGTTTTTGTTTCTTTCTTATTGTTGCTGGTGGTAGTGCTGAGGGTATTGACGTTGGTTTTGAATGAAGAAAATGGTAAGTGGGATTATTATCAAAAAAAAGAAGAAACGGCAGCTGCGCATTTCTGCTTTGCTGCTGTTGCCGTTGGCCCTTCCAAAAGGCTCTCTGTCTTTTATCGCAACGGCCAATGATTTGCCCTCAGAGCAAATTCCTTCTCAAACCTCTCTCTGCCATTCATCCGTTCGTCAATTGCATTCATCCACCACAGCTTTCTGCAACCTTCCGTCCTCTCCACCTCAAAGCTGATCTCACACACCGATTTCTACGATATGTATCGCGCAGACAACTCGCAGCTCTCACAACTGCACTATGCACTTTTTTTTTTCGTTCCTATCTTTTGCTTGCACTCAGTGGTTCTTTTCTCCTTCTTTCATAATGTTTTTCGTCACCGCTTTTGTCTCCTACCAACTCTTGGCATTCTGTTTTCTCTTCTTTTCGTAGCTGTGATGTTGCGGTGGTATGAAGTGTACTTCCTTTGGTTTTTGCGTCTCCTCCAATTTGTGATGGCTTGAAAAATTCAGAAATTTATAAGACCTATACATTTCTAATCGGGACTGGAAAATAATGTTTTCTTCCTGAGACAGCTAAAAGGCGTTTGCTAGGAGAAGGGGGGGGGGGGAAAGCACATTATTTTTTATTGTTGATGAAGCACATGCCTGTTGTTTTGGGGGAGGGAGAAAAGCAAGGGAAGGGCTGGTAGTGGTAGGGGGTGAAAAGAATCAAGAAGAAAAAAAAGAAAGAACAAAAACACAGGAATTAAGTGGAAATCTACTGTCTGCAGATTCTGTGTGAAATGGAGTGAAGTGAGTTCGTTGTCTACATCTCCTGCTTCAGATACAAAAAGTATATTCCACAAAGCAGCAGTGCGTTTGATTTCCTGTTTGGTGAACAGTCTTCCTTCTATGCTCTCCAGTCTTTTAGCCTTTTTTGGTCTTTTCTTAGTTTTTTTCTTTGTAAAAGCTATTCTCAGCTGTCCTCATTTAGGCGATTACAGTAGAAAAGCGAGAATGGGAATAATGAAAACATTGATTGAAATTGTCTGCAGTGTTCAAAAAAAAGGACCTTTTATTTTGTTAATTAAAGCGGAGAAAAATTATTTAGTGGGACGAGTGGGAGGTAAGGGGAGCAAAACTAGTGATGACACCGAAAAGGGGAAAAGAAAAAGAATGAACAGAGGAGGAAGAGGAGGATAAAGATGAAAAAGAAAAAGGGAAGGGAAACTACAAGAAAAGCAATCGAGTAGGTATTTTTGCCGTAGTGATGAAGAAGCATTAATCAATCAAGATCGGTTGTTATTTGGAAAAAAAAAATAAAGAATTTTTTTCCTTTATTGATGTTTTCTCGATTTGTTTTTTTTTTTTTTCGAAATCGAATAAATGTCATTCATCTGACGAGAATCTCAAAATTTACATCAAAAATGTTATGTGTGTATGTGAGTGTGTGTTTGGGCTGATTTAAGTGAGTTTTGTTTGTGCAGTACAAATGATTTTTTTGTATACATTATTCACTTTAATGAATATTAAAAAAAAAAAGATACTTTTCTTTTTAACAGTTTTGGTGACAGAAAAAAAAGGGAAAAAGAAAGAGACGAAAGAAACCGACAAAACTGTTGAAAAAAACATTGTTTGTGAAAATTTTTTCTCTTCTGAAGTTGTCTGAAATAGAGGGGCGAAAAGAAAAATAACGGATAATTCTTTAATCAGTTGGAAAAGTTGAGGTAAAAAATTTGTTGCAAAAAATTACTTTTTTTTGTTTGTCAAATCTTATATTTCTTTTTCGAGACATTACAGAGGGAAGAGGGAGGGGAAGAATATTTCATTTGTCAGTACGTTGGGGGTTAGAAAAAATTTCAACGGAACTGAATATGAAACCAGTTTTTGTATTGGCCCGAAAATTGACTGAGAGATTAAAAGAAGGGTTCAAGGGATGTGTAATGTCACTGGTGGAAAGAGGAAGAATTTTTGATAGTGGAGGGACAGAAACAAAAGAAGTTAAATACAGCTGTATTTTTTTTTTCAAGATTCTATTCTTGCAAAAAGAAAAAATGCATTTGAAAAATTTTTGGAATAAATGTTTTTTTCTGGTTTAAGTAGTTGCCTTCGATATGTTGAAAAGACCGGTTGTCTGGAGGAACGGAACGTTGGTTATTTTTAACAGTTTCCCCGTTTTTTTTTTTTTTTTTTTTTT